AATGAAAACAAAATGTAAAAACGTCAACATTTTCAAAAACAACAAACTATACATAATGGTAACGTTATTTTTTTTGAAAATTATTAAATTAAATTATTTTTAAAATTATTTTTTACTAAAACGTTTAATCAAAGTATAAAATACTAGACCTTGTCTTTGTGAGTCTTATGAAAAAAAAAAAATTGAATGATGATATTATATACATTATTTCAGGAGATGTGGAACTGGGTAGGTAAATCCTCATTGAACACTATGTATCGTGCGTGGTCGCCTGGAATATCAAATATCTCACATTAAGCATATTATAAAAATGCAACGATATGCTTGACCACGGAATGAGTTTTTTTCCACCACAGCGGTAGTGATCTATTGATTGTTTTTGGTATTTTTTTTATTAATATCATTATATTATAGGTATTTGGATCTCTGATCGGCCACCGATCTTGKCCATCAGTTTTGGTGACAATGGCTGTGGGGAAACGATTACGAGTACCACAGATAAAAACGGTAAATATATTGTACGTATTATATAAGAGAAAAGATAGGGTGGTAAGAAAGAGAGAGAGTGAGGGGGGTGACAGAGAATTAGTGAGAGAGATCGGGGGAGGGGGTGGTGATTAATGGTTTTGGCGTTTGCGAGAGGTATATATAGAGGACACGTCTGCTGAGAAGACATTTAGCCTGGCTCATTTATGTAAGGAATTCGGAGGTCATTTCACGGGGTGCGTGGCTTGGTCACGTACCCATACGGCTAAGGTTATGTTTATGTACATTGTGATATGTAGCATTTATATTTTAATACACTACCGAAAAATACTTCTATACGCTATATACTCGTCTGGATTTATATACATACCTATATTTTCTATATAATATATATATGTGTGTGTGTGTAGTATGCTTTATGTATATAGACTAAAGAGTTCAAGGGGCACGCACATTGTGCATGTGTATTATACAATTTTCATATTGATGTAACATGTAAATATTAAGTTTGAAACGTTGGTATATACTCATACAATTCATACAATATAATTATAGTCACTTATATACCATAGTATATATTATACTATTTATACTAATACAGGCCGCGTTTGGTTTTAAGTCAAGCACAGTACATCACATAATACCAAATATACGGTTTCATTCGATGTATGAGCCCTAAACATCGAGTCTCAGGCAATTAATGACCACGTAGATCATTACTTTAATCTGATTAAAGCGGTGAATTAAGGACATGCAGAGAGACCCCAGGGAGCACGCTACTTTTTAGTATAAAAATCATTAATATAAATATTTTTTAGGTAAATTTAGGTAAGCGTATTATTTCAAAAAAACTAAACATTTACTATATTAAAAAATATATATAATTACTTTAAACACTTATTATAGTTAATACTGCAGGTCCTTCGAAGTTTAAATTTCTTAATAGCGGCGATTTGTATATTATTATGATCTTTATCATATTATACCTATAATAAGATATAATAAGTATAATACTAAAAACCACGTGTGGTTGACAGAGACTTGAGATCGCCTGTGAGTGATACGAATTAATTATTATCATCATTAAAATCRAATTTTTTGTTTATACGACAACTTTACTGTACATGACAGCGTCAGACCTCTCTTTATTTTAGTCGTACCTATAGGTAGGTAGAACAATATCTATACAAAATAAGAATATTATATTAGATACCTATATTGCTATCCATCAGACACCTCGGCATTATTAACACGTTATTATTATTAGCAGAAACTTAAATTTATACGCGTTTCCTGTGCACACATTAATATTGTCACGTGCCTTCGTCATATTGACGTTGTTCACTTGGAGTTGAAACAATGGCTCTAATTTGGTGTTATCAGTATTTTTGGTAAATGCAATTTATGTGCAACAACTGAATTTATACATATTGTATTTATCATTCACAACATAAATCTACAAATCTGCTGTCAACATCGTATATTAAACTGCTGYAGCAGACGACTTGAAAGAACGTTTTTATTATACCACAGTATAATAATCATGTTTTCAAAGTTATTATTATAAATTATTGTACAAACATCTTGCTAAAATAATTACAGTCGTTCACTATGTTTCAAAGTTKCTTTTCCTCGACATGGTCGGTTATAATATTATTATTATTACTATCATCATCATCATCATCATCATCATTATTATTATTATTGTTATTATTATTATGATCATCATCATATTTCGTGTTGGAGGAAATCCATTTTTGAAGAGGAAACATTATTCGGGCGTGGCCGTCAAGGTATTTTTAATAAATCAAATAAAATATATTGAATGTTTTATCGAATAGTTCTGTGGAAGTTCACTTGGTCGGAAATGCCGAGTAAAGTATGACGGTTACACCCAGATGAACTTTTCACCGAATATTTGAAAACTGCGTATATAATACCAAAAAATCAATTCGTCATTCAAATACGCTCAATACTATATACATCACAAGCTTTTTTAAAACCGAATACTCATTTATCCATCCATCAATATAATTTTATAATCAAAAAAAGTTTTTACATTAACCGGATTGTATCATGGCCATATAAGATTTTTTTTAACGTTATGAATTCTAAAGATGTTTTATGAATAAACTTGGAGATTGACTTCATAATATTCATACCTATCTAATTCATTATTTCAATATTCTGTTTAGTTATAATTAATAAACTGAATAAAGTATAATTATGAGGTGGTATTCTTGAACATTAAAAAAGTATAATGCCGGTTTCTAAAAGTTATATCCAATTATTAGTTTTTACTTTAACGAAAGTTAAACGATATTTTCAAATATGAAACCCAACTTGATATACATTTATATTTAATTGTAACTAATAAGTAATTTTTAGTATTAAATTGAGTATTATAACCTATTATCGTATAGTAGCATTATAAACATTTGATTGGATTTTCATTTTTGAAATGATTGTTTAACATAACAATATAAAAACCTCATTACAACTTTATTTTATATTTCTGAGCTGTAAATTATTCCCAATATTAATTACTCGATGAATGAACTATATTATAATGAGTTATGTAACTCTCGGAATTATTTAAACTCCTAGATGTATGGTAATAAAAGTAATAAAAGCAAACATAAATATTATTATTATTATGAAAATTACATTTAAATTAGTAAATACAACTCAAGCGTAATAAAACAAATACAATTTTTATTTTAGATAAATTATCACTACCAAAATGTCCAAAACACATATCATCATGTGAAATTATATTTAGCTAGGTTTTAGTTTCAATTACTATATTATTATGACATAAAATATAAAAATATATTTACTGAAATAACCTTAAATGCGTATATTGCGGTGCGTTAACGAATTCCTCATAAAAAAAAAAAAAACCCGTAGTAAAATTTAAATAAATACTGAGTTGGATTTAAATATTTAAATATTAAAATTAACAAACGTTTTTTTTTTTTAATATGATGAACGTCTACATTCTATTTATTATTATTATATATTTTTTCAAAAGGTTCATTTTCTGTAGTCAACTAACCATCTATTAACTCTACCCCTTAAATTACATTTTTATTTTTTATTATAAATTATTTTTCAACGCATGGCTGTCACCCTACTCTAGCTACGACGTTTGAGGATTCTATACTTTTTTTGTTATCTGAAGGGACTCTACAATAGMTATATAACTACTACGTTGAGAGCAAATAAAACGTATAATTTTAGTACTCTTCACCGTGCACTTATACCCAACGAAACTTTATTATTTMATATTTTAATAATGAACCATGTCAATAAAAATGAATAAATGCAAAGAGTTTGACCGATTGTGACTGTGAAGATCAGAATGGTAATTACGTAAGTAATAAATTTCATTGGTAAAATTGAATCATTAAAACATTGATATATTATTATGTGTGACGTGCGATAACCAAAATTATTATAATCTCTTGTAATAAATAATAATATAGTACATTAAAAATAGTTTGACCACTAACCAGTGTTTCATGTAATATATTGTATAAACATGGATTTAATCCAAAATGTGAAGATAAAATGTAAATTCTAAACTCATACCTATTAGCTATTACGTCAAAAATTACTCGACAAGTTAATAACAAGCAAATTGAATAATATTGCATTAACTGAATTGAATTTCAAACTTTAACACATTGTATTACAAACTGACACCTTATAATATTATATATAAACAATAATATTGTTCATATTGTTATCGAACCGTGGATTAAGAACTATTGTTATACACACACTATTTGATCAATTGACGATCTGTTCTCAAGCTGTACAAGTTACCTACATGTCAGCTTAAAACATGAGATTGTTATGGTCTTTAGAAAAATTCTGATAATTGTAAATACTGTGTTGAAMAAATCGTCATACGAATTTACTTACAGTTATGTATTATAATTCAAACATTTATACATGGATATTGGATTTATAATTCTGAGTTAAACATTTTTTTAAACTTCAAATGAAATATTTTAGCTCGTAGCATATTTTATTTTATTTTTTCTCTATGGAGAACTAAAATTAAAAAAAAAAAAACTGAGCAAAGTGGTGAAATTCTTTGGAATTGATCTCAATACACTTGGGACTAACGAAAATTAAACCTCAATTCGTTATTACTGTATATTTATATATATATATATATATATATACGTTCACTCACGGCTTTCTACTGCATCGGAAAATAAACCGAACCAAATTATATTATAGTGTGTAGTAGTATATATGTATATACATGGTGACCGCAAAAACGCAGCACCGCTGTCACCGCTACCGCCACCGCAGGAGGGACCGAAATGTTGTTCGATAATAAATTGGAAATAGAGCGCGGATTGCAGGGGTTGGAGTGATGAGTGGGTCAAACGAGGTGGTGGAAAGTGTCGTCGGTGGTTTACATGACGWTGGAAAAATTGCTCATATAGCGTTATAAAGTGTGGGAAGAAGCAAACATTTTGCTGATTTCTACTCACGATATTTACTCAGGCGACTGTGTCAATTTTATACKCCGCTTACTCCTCACGATAACAGTCAAATTATGATGTTTCTTCGGTGACACTATCACTGCTATCACTGCAGCAACCGTTGGCATAACATGCATAAGGTGTGTATCATAGACACACAATATGTGTTTTGAATGGACAGTGACATTTCTACAAGACAAAAACAAATATGTTTGTTATAATAAAGATTATTGAGACAATCCATTGTTTATATTATAATATACAATATTACATGATATTATAATATTATTGTGATTTACTTAAAAAATTAACATTAAAYCGAAAGCACCATCGATGACCCCACCTTGATTTAATGTGTACAGAATAATGATATAATWTAATATTGTTCTGAACTATTCAAAAACGATTAAATATAAACTACAATCTGCATATTATACAAAATAATTAATTGCCAAGGATATTTTAGTTAATATTAAATATATATATATATTTATAATTTTTTTTTATATATATATAAGATTAAAACGATTGTTTTCAATGGTATAATAAGAAATACGATATTTTTCTTATGATTGTTTGCATAGTTAATAACTTGGTTAATATTAATTCAACAGATCCGAGTTCAACTACAAAAATTTKGCAAATAGATCTATGTATTGTACCCACAAATAAGTTAAATTATGCTACATTTTGATATTAACTTTGATGTAATTCTCGGTTTCAATTTTGACTACCAAATTTATGTTTTAAAATTTAATATGAAATATGAAAATGTTATCAACAATATATTTACCTATATATTTGATAACATTTTTACAAATAAATAAATAAATTAAATTCACTCTGGACCTAACCATAAGTAAAAATTAGATGATAAAATTTGTTGGTGTTTATGYCTTGTTAATACGTATGTTGCYATGTGATAACGTKCGTGAACAGTTATTACTTTATTAGGTTTGAAATAATACACCGTTATAATAGGTATCATACATATTTATTAACGATCGTATTTTATTGAGCTCCAATAATAATATTGTGATTTCCTTAAAGTGATTAAGGAAAACACGCAATTCAATCGTATTACAGACACGTTGATACAATGATATACGAGTACAATGAAATAAATTAAAGAACAATAAATATTTTAAAAAATTTATAATTTCCCATGGTAACCAGATCTTAGCAACTTTAATTTATGATAATAAAATTCATAATATTCAAAAATTATTTTTCAAGAGGCATAACTGCATAGAAATGGCGTTATTATAACAAAAAAGGAACAAAAAATTCAAAATACCAATAAAAAACTTGTAACGCCATAGACGCACGTGTCAGGGAAACARATTATAACAAATTTAGCGATAATAATTTCTTTAGCACTAATATAAACCCTCAATAATAGCAACCATTTATAAATAAAAAAAAATTTCCATCGTAAATCTCAAAATGTCTGTTTTGGAACCTTCCAGGGTTGGGYCTATCACTTTTTAACTTATCCTATCTTTTGACCATAGTTCTAATATACAGAGTGATTCTTTTAAGTGGGTACACTAATTATCTCAAAAAGTATTTACTTTTTTCAAAATATTTTTTTACATGGTTTCAAGTTGTTAAAAAACCAATGTTTTTATTAAAAAATTATATTTTTAAATATTTTTTTATTCATCCTTATAATTTTTTTAATTTTTTTACTTTTTTGAATGACAACATAGAGTTTTAATTTCATATTCCAAAGCAGAATATTTTTCTAAGTATTTTGATTCATAAAAATCGAATTTAGGACGAGAAGTTTTGAGTTATATGTATTTAAAGTTTAGACAAGCAGAGTAGTGGACAAACATTTTGAGGGGTTACCCCGTACCACTTCACTCTWCCAATCTAAACTTTAAATACTTATAACTCAAAAACTACTAGCCCTAAATTCGATTTTTATGAATCAAAATACTTAGAAAAATATTCTGCTTTGGAATATGAAATTAAAACTTTATGTTGTCATTCAAAAAAGTAAAAAACTTAAAAAATGATAAGGATAAAAAAATATTTAAAAATATAATTTTTTCATAAAAACGTTGGTTTTTTAACAACTTGAAACCATGTAAAAAAATATTTTGAAAAAAGTAAATACTTTTCTAGATAGTTAGTGTACCCACTTAAAAGAATCACTCTATATGTATATGTTTCTGTACCAAATTTCGTCCCAATCCGTCCAGCCGTTTAGAAATGCATAAAATACATACAGACAGGCAAATAGATCACACATATATATATACATAGATACATGGAAGAAGGAGATTGATTATTAAATAATTTTATCTAAAATGCATGAGATGTGTACGATTTTATCAAATTTATAATTTACTGTATTCCTATTATTAGTTATATATGTATTAGGTTATTTTTATTATTTTCTAGTCCACCCACTTCACTCAATTGTTTAACATGGTGGTGCTGTTGATTGGGGACACATACACTGCATCAGATTCGCAATAATTGGTTGAACGTGCACAACGCAGATTTGTTCTTATTGCATTCTACTCGTACATCCTAAACTTGTRTTAAGTTCTAGTTTTTTAAAAGTGCTCATCATTTTTTACTCGGGTCCTTTGAAATTACCAACTACATCCAGTTGGCTACTAGAAACCACTCTTCAAGTTGTTAATATAAGTATTTATAATACTATAAAAAAGTGTACATAGGTCACAACACATTACACAGAAAYACATCATTTTAAAATAAATATGTTCATTATTCTTTTCAGAATTAAAAACATTTTGGTAACTATTCATATGCAAATTACAAATATGTAAACATAGAATCATAGCACATAAGTAGTACAACATTATTAACCCAACTATTTAATTTWATTTTATGAGTAAAATATTTAAGTYTTAATTTTCTTCGTGAACAAGCTTGAAGATAATCTTATGGTTAATAATTGTTGGAAGTAATAATAATAATAACCACCATTATATTATTATTTACGTTTTTAAATATTTTTTTAATTGTAATAATAATTAAGAATTTAATCATTTATAAATAAAAAAATTATTAATACACAAGTATTTACTGTATTTTTTACCTAAATATTAACTTCTTGTAAATTTGACACATACATTTCATGCATCTATAAAGCGTGTTTTCACTTGAAATGTTATCAATAGATTTCTGCCAAACTGTAATGTCAAACAACGTGCCAAGTCATCATAAATACCAAGTATAGTGAATGTGTATCATATTGTATACATATTATATTATTATAATTGTGGAACAAAATTTACAATCAATCAAATGATTGAATCGTTAAGCGTACAATGTCAACAAAAATATGGTTATAGACCGAAATTTTTTCTTTAATAATGTATATTTGTACACAATTACTAAAATATGGAATAATTGTTTTTCTCGTGGTAAATAGTCGTAATTGCCATGGTTATCAATTAGCTATCCATCTAAACTGCAAAAAAAATTATAAAATATAATTTTGTGACATAATTTCTATCATATTATGATACAATCATAATTTTGACCATAAAAAACTAGGTATTAGAAATTTACCGCCATACKAAGTAAAATYACTAATTTATTATTGGGACAATGTAATTGAATTTCAGATATTAATCATGTTAATATCTCTAAAGGTATGTTTATGGGTATAATGTGACAATTTTGAACAATAGTCGATAGGTAATAGGTTGTAGATATTATTTCGAAATGTACGTTTTGCATTAAATTGGATTAACTGATKTGCTAACCTTACTTTTATTGAAGATGAAATTTTTTTTGTTTATACAAAATAAATATTGATTTATATTAGAAAATCGATTTTTTAAAGTATTTTATAACTTGTAGAATATAATTACGTTTTTATGTAATTGAAATTAACTTAATCTAGAATATTATTTTCTAAATGAAAAAGTTTTAAACGGAAAAGTACTAAATAAATCAAAATACATCATGGGCCATGGACATATTTTAACGATGATTCTGTTGCAATGCAATGTTTGAGGATAAATCATGATTAATTCGATGATCATTATATTTTGCACCAAACACACTGTAATGGTAGTACACTTTTATTTCTTGTGTAAACTTTCATACAGTATTTTATTATATGCGTTTAGTTTAATGCTTAATCATTACCATGAAAACAGAACAAATAATTATATATTCTCAAATATAGTAATATTATTATCACGATGTGGTTTATCATAATTTATAACTTTCATTTCCGCATATACCCTCTTTTGTATTTACGGCTAACACCTGGGACGCAAAACGGATACGCTTCGGACCATGTATCTGCGGAAATGATGACGTGACCACAGATATAATAGTACAACTAGATAGTCAACTTGGTTTCAATGTTGAAGTTAGTAAAATGAATGTTTACTATTCTCATCAAATAGGTCCATGTTTACAATTCGTTCATTTAAATATGAAATGTGATATGACAATAACCAAAATAAATAAATGCACTTTTGATGTTTTATATCAACGCCTTGTATATTCAGTTCGAATCAACGAAACATTTATAAACATTGACTTCTTTATAAGAAAAGTTGCCAAATTATTTGTATCAAAACGTTACGATGTTGAGAATCGGCTACCTAGTAGTATTATAATATATTTATAATAGACATTCAAGACAGGGACATGACAGATTGGGATCAAAATTCGGCCACGGAAATTATAAACACGGAGGCCCATTTGTATTGACCAATATAATATTATAAACTTACTGAAATTCTTAGTAATTTATTATAAAACAATATTTTAAAATTCAAATTAGCTCTTTATTTTTTTTATTACAAATTTTAAACATAGTTTTAACTTAAAACATTAGACTTTTATACAGTAAATCACTTTGTTGAGAGACTACTTTAATGATTCCATCGTGGTCTAGAGAAGCCAATTTTTCTTTTTCTATGCCCATCATCATAAAAGCTTCAAGCTTTGAATCAGTTAACTGACTATGAAGTCTTGTTTTAATATTTTTTAGTTGTGAAAATGATCTTTCGCATGTGACTTGTGTTGAAGGTRAGGTCAGTACATATTTATATRCAAGATATAGATTTGAGTATGTTTGACAATATAAGTAATATTTCGTTAAAACAGTGTAACAGCACAAAAAACAGTTTTTACAACTCTTACAAAGTGCTGTTGAATCATTGTCATTTGTTTGTGTGTCT